AAGAATTGTCTTTGATCTTTCAAGCTGTTTCATGGAACTCAGCGGGAGGTGCATGCATCAGTCCAAAAGCAGTTAAATAAAAAGCGCCCCATCCATAATAAAAAGTGTCTCACACGGCTCCGGGGGGTGAACAAAGGCCTCCTGTAGCGAATCGATGCATTTTTGTAAGAAAAATATCCATATTTAAAACGTAATAATCAATTTAATCTTGCTTGCGCTCATTGTTGTACACGGAAGCAGCTCCGGGCGGATGATGTAGGATGTCGGCGTTGCACATGCGCCACTCAGAAGTGACGAACGCAGAAGCGCAGCGGAGAGATCAAAACAACAGTCACTAATTAGAAGTACAAAACGAGGATTTGTAAAGAAGAATGTTGGAGGATTTCGATATAAGCCAAGAGGAGACTGGTTTTCCTTTGCTAAAGTAAGGAAACTTTGCTTCCTTTGCTCCTGTTAACAAACGTTGGTTTTCACGAGACTCACCGGCGCATGCGCAACGCTGAACTCATACGTCATCTTCAGGGATCTTATCTATGCACAATCAGCTTGTAACACTCCAAAGAGAAAGGAAAACTTGAAATCGCATCATATGACCCCTTTAAACAGCTTGGAAGATCAAAGTCAATTTTTAATATAACTCCGATTGGATTCGTCTGAAAGAAGGAAGTCATCATATACACCTAGGATGGCTTGAGGGTGAGGTAGTAATGGGCTAATTTTCATTTTTGGGTGAACTATCCCTTTAAAATGTCGGAGATTGTAAAAAGTTGGCTTGGCATTTTTGCTGACTGCTAAGCATGTTGGGCAGAGTTTATTTACCTGTTTTTAGCTTAATACCTGAATCATAACACTGATTTAATATCATATGAAGGCAGACATTTAAAGGCAGCTCTTTTGCCCTGTTGAGTGTTCAGGTTTGATTATGGCCACATTAGTGCAGGAATGCATGTTATTTATGTACAGCGCAATGCGTCAGACGAGCATTAATTTTCCTGTGTTTGCATACTTGTTTCTTGTATTTTAGATTGATTTGGTTTGGTGGAGTTCAGAATACTGTATAGTCACTTAGAGAATTTTATTTTCACAATTTGGAGCAAAAATTGATGTATAACTGTCTTTCTATGGGTGTGTGGCATGTAGGTTGTTCTGTCCTCACCTGATGAACTTTTACGAGACAATGCATCAACTTCTCATTCCCAAGCCCAGTCTTTGGTACCTAAACTGCATCAAGCAAGCCATCAAACATTGCTGTGATTTAGAGCAATGATCACCTCCGTCTGTGTTAGGCTTCAACTCGCTGAGTATAATGTAGATGAAGATGTTATTGAGGTTATTTGATCTCCGTGTGTGATCGGCGCTGTCTGTTGGACAGACCGCATCCACATGACTCTGTCCTGGAAACCATAGCATTTGTGTGTGTGAATCTGCTTGGATCTCACTTACCCAATTAAAGCCCTATTTGGATGGTACTAGTTTCCCTGAGGAGTAAATTTGAGTTCTGCAGACAAAAAGGGAAATTTATTTGTGAAATTATTTAATTGTGAAAACCAAAAATAAAACAATATTGAGTAATGTAAATGGACATTTTCAAGTTTTGCTTTGATCAAAAATGTATAGTTGGCTACATATTGATCTTGAGCGAGTCGATTTATTTTTGCAAAGAATCAGTTGAACCAACCATCTTAATAATAATTAATGCATTAATTGAATTGGTCAGAATAATAAATAGATTTTAAAAAATCCTAATCTAGTAATCACAAATGGCATACAATGTTTATTCATTGATCTGAAGTTACTTATGAGTCTTTTTTTTTTTAAGAAGAATCTGTTTAACCAAAAACCGATCGTAATGATTTGTGAATAAAATTGGTCTGAAATAATAAATTGATTTAAAAAAAAAATCATAATCTAGTAATTAGAACCCGACCGATATATCGTTTAGCCGATATTATCGACCGATATGAGCCTGTCGCCGATATATCGGTATCTGCGAATATGCCGCCGATATGAAATTTTTTTACAGAACATATAACGCAGATTAAATGCTTCTGAATGGTGTAATTACTTAGTTTGTCCAGCAGAGCGCGCTCCATTGTTTGCTACTGGCGACCCAGGTCAGTGTAGTGTAGAGATGCGCGGATGAGCTCAAACTTCACCCAAGTCCGCTGCTTCAAATTATCCGCCTGCCACCCACCCGCACCTATATTTGATCGTCACATTACAATGATTCTAATTCTTAGTTTTGCATGATGATATGATGAATGGATGGCTAATTTTTAACAGCAGATTCAGTGACGCTAGAGACTAGAGCTGATCTGCGCATCACGGCACGCGTCTGCGGCGCATTAAACCTGTGTTACAGCCACCGGAACTGATCGCGGCCACTCAGTCAGTGCTGGTGTTTACCGACCGCGCCACGGCCCAGAACTCATGCTTATCACATCGGTACTATAATATAGCCTACACATAAAGAATATCGGCCGATGTATCGATATCTGTCTTTTTTTACTCCCTAATATCGGTATCGGCATCGGCCCCCAAAAAACCCATATCGGTCGGGCTCTACTAGTAATCACAAAAGACTCTAAAAGACATGTAATAAATAAATTGATGAAAGGTAGCTCATATGAGACGGTTCTTTTCAGTGAATCAATTGAACTGATTCACATTTGCATCCTAATTATTTATGATTGAATTGATTTGAAATGCTAAAAAGATGTCATAAAGCTTGACTCAAAAGTCCTTGAGACACTAATCTTGTCCGAATGGCGTTTCTGACAGTATTTGCAGGAAGTGAGAGTGCTAAAGCACACAGTGCTCAGCTGTGTGGGTTCACATACATTCAGGGAATCATGTCTTGTGTAGCTCAGAGTATCAGAATGTCTTAGCGAACAACAAACAGACTCTGCATTAATGGCTCCTGTGTGTGACTCCATTCCATGTGATTGTCTGCCTCACTCTGTGGCACAAATGTGTTATGGGGGCAGCAATGCAGCCCAGTGTGTCACAAATTATCCAGCACATCCACCAGAGGAATGAAGAGAAAGATGAACGGAGAGAGAGAGACTTGCATTTTTCCTTCTCACTTCTTTTGCTCATCCTTTCTGCATCACTGAGTGGAAAAGTACAAACAATGTTAGAATGCCCGTCAGCAGGCCCACCGGCCAATCACATGTGGGCCTGGCAACCCTGTTACGTTACCAGCCAATGAAAGCTGGCAGTGTGACATCATAGGGATGGGGATGTGTTGCTAAACAAGAAACAAAGAGTGAGTGTTTGTATATAGACAAACAAACACACAAACAGCTCTGGGGACAGAGTCTTGCGTGTGTCCTTCTCTCTCATCCTCTGAGTGTGTGAATGTTTGTGTTATATTATTGAGATGCGGGAGTTGCTAGGTGTGACCCTGCTTTCTCCTCTGAAAAACTCATTAAATTTCACAGGTTTTTTTTTTTTATTCATCCTCCTATTATTGTTTGAACTTCTCTCGCCTCATCGTGGTTTCTCCAGCAACCTGTGGGTGATGAGGGTAGGGATTTCCTGAGCGGGGTTGACATGTGACACACACACACACAGTTTTTCCAGTCTTTCTGCATTGATGGCTAGATTGAAAAATGTGATTTGTACATTAATCCACATATGCAATGCAATCTTTATCTGTGCTCAAGAAAAACAGTGTGTCAGTGCACTTATCAGTGCATCTGAATGCTTTAGAATGTCACTATTATGAAATAATATTGATGATGATTTTTGGTATTTCTGTACGGGTTAGGTTTTCCAGAAAAAAATCATTGTCTATGGACAGTCCTCATAAAATGCAAAAACCCAACATGAGCGTTTGTGTGTTGTTTTTTGGCCTTGTTAAAATACTGAAGCCATCAGTCAAATTAAGGAAATGTGTTCACAAAATAAATAGTCCATTTTGATTGCATGTTGACTTTTAAATGTGCTGAGACAACTATAAGTAAGCCATTCAAAGTCTAAAGCTGTGGCTCTGTGGCACTATTAAAAATAGTTTAATTTCTCTGAGTGGTCCAACATAGCAACGTCCAATGGTAATTGTAATAAGATGTTTAGCTGGAAGCTGACAAGTTTGTCCCAAATAATGGCAGACAGGCAGTGAGGCTGCATATATTATACCAGGGATGTGGTTTAGTGTGGAAAATCAGTTGCTATTAATTTCTATGAGGAAGTTTGTGTGCTTTTTCTTTTTGAGATGGATCAATATTGTCTGAGCACATTGTTAATACATATATTAGCCCCGAATTTGGTAAACCATTACTTTTAACCTTTAATGAATAACTCTTTAGTGTTTTAATGCCAATAGATTTACATTTTGTCTTCAGATTTTTCAGTGCAAATTTCTGCTTGAGCACTTACTGAAGTTTATAACCTATTCATTGTGCATTCAAAATGCTTTGTAATGCTACATAACTGTCTCTCTTTCTTGACAGCCTCTGTCCCTGTCAGCAACAGCAGTGTGAGTAGGCGAGGAACATCCCCCTCAGCCCCGGCCAGCTGGGAGAAGCGTAGCATCCACCCCGCCACCATGTCCAGCATCACCATCGACCCCGAGCTCAAGCCTGGGGAGTTTGTCATCAAGAGCCTCTTCGCAGAGTTCGCTGTGCTCGCCGAGAAGAAGATCGAGGTGGTCATGGCTGAACCACTGGTGAGTATTGCCCAAAAATTAATAGAGAAATTTTTTTTTTCTAGCAAATATATAAATACAGTAATAAAAATAACAAAATTTGTTTGTGTTGGGTCCAGTGAAATGTTAGCAGGTAGGTAAAAATCCATTCGAGCAGAAAAAAGCCTTACCTTTGAGCTCTGGTAATTGAAATAAAAAGATTGTATTGCATTTAATATAATTTTTTTTTTTTATTATTTCATTCAAGAAGGATGCATTTGATGCATAAATTGATTATAATTGACAGTAAAGACATTTTAAATTGTAAAAAGATTTCTAACCCTAACCCTAACCCTTCTATATCAAATAAAAATGAAGATTGGTTTTGTGTTACCAGTTACCTCGGGATTGAGGTGAAAGGTCAGTTGTGCTTTGAGACATGTTGATTTATTTCGAGAAAAAGAGAGGCTGTTGTGTGTGTTTTCAAAGTTTGTGGCTGAACAGAACACACACACATACACTTCCCCGTGTATTCCCAGAAACAGAAGCAGAGGTTTGGATTCTTGGAATGCTGTTCTGTTGGATTCTTCTCCGAGCCCCTCGTGCTGAAATACACACACTCTCTCTCTCTCCAGACTTGTCCTTGGATGCTTCCTCTCGGTTTTCCCTTCTCTGTCTCCTTGTGTGTTTACTCAGTGGTAGATTGAGCTCTCTCTGTTTACTCAGCAAGAGTTTAAACTGGTAATGACTGCATCAAGAGGCTGCAGAGAGGAGCTGTTTGCTCCTGACTTAGAACTTCTCGCTCATAGTAAAGTGTTTGTTCTAGGGCTGTGTGATATTGAAGAAAAATGTGATATGAGATACCTTGTTAAAAAATGCGATATTCGATATGCGATACGATATTGCTTAAAGTGTGTAAAATCAATTTCAATTATATTTTAAAATATTTAAAAAAGAAAATTATATAACCAATTTGTTTCACATTCTTACTTTGAAAAGAAAGAATCACTACAACTTCTGAAAGTGACCAGCAGTGTTTTAGCAGTACATAAGAAGTAATGTCACAAATCAGAAAATGTCATTTTAACATCAGTGTGAACATACAAACA